TGAATATATACCCACACACACACACACACACACACACAACTTACACACACACAACTTACACACGGCGAGCGGGTGCGATATACATGTGTATATGTTATTACAGTGTTGCGCGGCGGCGGCAGCGGTTTCGTCGTCGTCGTCGGCCGCGCGGAAACACTATCGCGCGCGCGACTGCCGCCAGCTATGAAAAGTCATTGGCCTCTCGCTCGCGCAAATACACACACACAAACACATATACGCGCGCGCGCACACACTTACTCGACCGTGCGGCAGTGCGTTGTGCCGCGCCGAAAACGGCCGCCGCCGATGTGCCGTTCCACTACTTCCACCACTACACTGCTACTAGGACTACTATGACTACTATGACTACTATGACTAATATGACTACTACGACTACTACTACTCTACTACTTCTACTACTACTACTACTACTACTACTACTACTACTACTACTACTACTACTACTACTACTACTACTACTACTACTACTATTACTACTACTGTACTGTCGTCTATTACTACTACTACGCGATGACTGGTGGGCGGGTGACGGTGTAATTTGCGCAACAAAAATTGCCGCCACAGTTTTAATATTATTATAACAATATAATATCATATTATTATTATTATTATTATTATTATACATCGCTCATTTGTGAGCGAGCGCTCGTTGCGATTGAGGAAAACGTTGTCGTCGCGGTATTTTCTTTTTCACGTTCATTTATAATTATCATGATCATGATAAATGATAATAATCGTCCGGAGGAAAATACTACGCACGCCAAACGGTAGGATAGGACGGTTTTTCTTACGCGGTGCACACGCGCCTAGCGGCTGGGCGGCCCGCGTCGCTTCACTCGCCATCGCGCGACAACCGAAAAAGGTCTCGGGAACCGCTCGGAAACGAAATGTTAAAATAACATATTGTAACATGTCGTCGCGATTGCCAATAACCGCGCGATATATCGATAACCCGTTGCGGCGACTAGAATATCATCTATCTTAGAAACTGAGTTGGCCATCGCCGAAAATCCATGCGTTTCTGCCATGTGAGGTGGTATTAATTTTTGGTTACGACCTCGCCACGGAGACGTACATGCAGTCAAAAACGACAGCGGCGGACGCGGCATGCACCGATGTACTTTTACCGCACGCTACTACACGACTTGTTCCCTCCGCCGCCCCACACATGCTTAGCCGTCACCGACACCGCAGTAGTGGTGCAGTCCGCTGCCGCCGCCGCCGCCGCCATCGCTAACACTACTGACCTACTTTCTCTGCGGCGGCGGCGGCGGCGGCGGCGGCAGCGTATACTTTTTTTGTTTTTTATTTTTTCTCTATTCTTTTCACATTATACGTAGTACCTACGCTACACTCGTCTCCGTCGCCGCAGCAGTCGACGTTTTACTCGCGCAGCGCACACCTATACACACATACACACAGATTTTATAATTGTTCATTAACTGGTCATTATTGCAATAATGATTAAACTTATAACATTATTATTATTTTTATTATTTTAAACACGACTGGAATACTAGACACTGGTTAGTGGTATCGCTCGCGCCGGAAAGGGGTTACGGTTTGGCCGGAGAACACGCGCGCCCGGATTAACGGTATTTTAATGGGTACGATCTGATACGCTTATATTGTGTATTATAAATTATAATACATAATAATAATAATAATAATAATAATAATGATAATAATATGTAGAGTAGGTAAAAATATAATATTAATACGCACTTTGGTGTGCACTAACAATTGACGACGTGGTACTTAAACAATATCATACGTACAAAAGTTATGAGTTATAACTTGCAACATTATTATGCGACGTCTATACCATCCGGTGAAAAGCGAACGGTTGCCGGTCCTAAATATCGCGTATCTACGCGTATATATATAACATTATTTTTGACCAAAACGATCGCGCGCGCGCGCTCGCGCCCGAGAGAGTTCGCGTATAAACTTTTCGGCTATTTCCGGCGACCGTTGACGATAACGTCCGCGGCGGCGGCATTCGTTTGTTCGCGTAGCGCGCGGATTGGTATAATATGTATATATTTTTTCGCAATCGTCGTCGTATCGTACGGTACACGTATAGTCGTATAATATAATAATAATAATAATAATACGATCGTATCGCGTTCTGCATCTCGGCGCGGTTAGGTAATATTTTTCGTTTTGTTTTTGTTGTCCATCGTGCTTGTTTTCTCCCGACCGTTTTGTTTTTACCTAACATTTCAATAAAACACACGGTAATTATTAATAATATAACAACCATTAACAACAACAACAACAACAACAATAATAATATTAATAATAATAATAATTATTATAATTTATTGTTATCGAGTTCGTTCATCCGCTTCGCAATCCGACGGCAGCGGCGGCGGCGGCGGCGGCGTCACCGACGTGTTGTTCGCCTGGCGTCGTCGTCTCGCGGTCCGCGGAGTCTATTTTCGTCGCGCGGTTTACGCCGTTTTTACAATAATATATTCAAGTTTTTATAATGTTATATGTTACGCGTCGCGCGTGCACAATGTGCAATAATACGTCGCATAATGTATCATTATTATTATTATTACGAGTTTATAATAATAATAATAATAATAATAATAATAATAATATACAAAGCAGTAATCGTCGTCGTACATAGTGTACGTGTATGTGTCTGTGTGTGTTGTTGGTAACGATCCGGCCGCCGCCGTCGTCGGCCCTGTAGGTCGTTGAACTCCGCGGTCGGCCAGCTGACTATACTATACGACTGTGACTAGGACGACGACGACGACGACGACGGTGCTTTGTGGTGGTACCGTTGGTTGGTTTTTTATTATTTATTTATTTATTTATTTTTTATTTATTTTTTTTTTATTCGTGATATGACACGGGAATATACAAAAATCAGAAACAAAAAAAAAAAAAAAAAAACTATAACAATACGAAATAAACGGGAAATTACGGTGCCGACTGTGGCTAAAGTTTTTTAGTCGATTAGTAACGTCTACCAAAGAGACACCCCGCGGTATATAAGTTGTATTAATAATAAAATATATTATATATATTATTCGTAAATTCGTCGTCTACACTTGTATCGCTTCTCCTCGGTAGTGACGGATAATTTGTGCGGTGTAAAATCGATTTCATTAAATACAACTGCGGCGGCAACTATGACGACGTCATGCATATAATAATAATGATATAAAACCACTCGTACATTATATAGTCGTCGCCTGCGTCAATATAAAAATTTTCTTCTGTTCGGTATAATAATAATAATAATTTATATACTTGCCGGTTCACTAGTGTGTGTGTGTGTGTGTGTTTGTGTGTTTGTGTGTTTGTTTGTGAGTGTGTGTGTGTGTGTTGTACATTATATTTATAAAAATAAATAAAATATACAACAATATTCAGCAAACAACAAGGTCGTTGAACTTCTCTAGTGTGCAGCGTGTACGTGTATTACTACGTCGATCGCTTTGCTCGGCCGCGAGAGCCGCCGCCGTCTTTTACGTCTCGCGGGCGCGATGTGTTTATGTCGGGGAATGCGTTTTTTAACCGGGAATCGGTCGGTTTTTTTTTTTTTTTTTTTTTAATAAAAAAAAAACCAACTCGAAATAACGGATCGAACGATGAGTATCGCGCGATATAGTATATGATATGTATAATAATATTACGCGGCGGGTGCACGACTCGCACAGTCGTCTGCCGTCGTCGCGATAATGTTGTCATAATAATAGCAATAGCAATAATAATAATAATATTATCGTTACACAACAATATTATTATCGTATCGTGCCTTAGCGTGTACGCGGTACGCCACCACATCGGCGTTCCGCCGCCCATACATATATTACAATATATTATTATTATTATGATAATATATCATAAATCATAATATATATTATTATTATTATTATTATTTATTGTAATGTATGCGCGCCGCGTGTATCGAAACATTACATTATACGGATATATCGTGTATGTATTATAATATTATTCGCACAAAGGGAGTGGACCGGCGGGGATCAGGTGTCAGGAGTGTCGGTAAGGGGGCGTAGGGGGGCTAGGATTAGAGTGTGTGAGTGTGCGAGTGTGCGTGTGTGTGTGTGTGTGTGTGTGTGTGTGTGTCTGCGTATGACCTTACGCGCGGCGTACGGTTGACCGATTATCATCCGTCGTGCGTATACAGGGCGATACCTGCCGCCGCCAACGTTTCGGCGCGAGTCGCTTGCGTATCGTTTATGCGTTCGCCAATAAAAGCGTCGCGCATACTATTATCATTATCATTATCGTCGTTGTGTATCGCTAGTGTATCCGACGTGCGACACGTCCGAACGCGCGACTGCGAAATATTTTGCTCGCATAATACGCGTATTGTGTATGAAACGACGACGACGACGACGAGGACGTAATAATATTATTGTAATCGTCGACTCGTATAATAATAATATGTCGTAAATCACGCGGCGGTATCGGAAATACGCGCGTTTGATTTTCAAAGGTTAGGTCCTCCACTCGAGGATGTGGGATTTAAGCCCCCGGCGGTATTATACTATTACAACCCGTGTGCCGTAATGCGCCATCCGGTTTCTTCGTTTGCCGGCGTTCTGTCGCCGAAAATATCCTCTGCGCGATTTACGGGTGTGAGGGGGTGATGGGAGGAGCGGGGGGGGGGGCAAGACACGATCGTGCGTCGTACGTCATCGTCGAGCGTACACATCGAGTAGTTGTGATGCGTATGCGTATCGACGCGCGTTCGGTCGATTCACAGACCCGTCCACGCGTTATGAAGCGAATAGGTCCAGAGAGCAATGTTGCCAGATAAAGGTGGCATATTAATAGCGAGTGAGAGAGAAAGAGAGAGAGAGAGAGAGAGTAAAAGAGAAAAAAGTTTAACAATAAAAACAATACAGAATCCATGTCCCATCAGCATAATAACGATTACTGCGGTACGTTTATGAACGAAATAAACTAATCGTTTTTATCCGTTTCAGCTCAAATCGAGATCATACCGTGCAAAGTGTGCGGCGACAAGTCCAGCGGCGTCCACTACGGCGTGATCACGTGCGAGGGCTGCAAAGGATTTTTCCGGCGGTCGCAGTCGTCCGTGGTCAACTATCAGTGCCCCCGCAACAAGAATTGCGTGGTGGACCGCGTAAACAGAAACCGGTGCCAGTACTGCCGGCTTCAGAAATGCCTGCGGCTGGGCATGTCCCGTGACGGTAAGTCTGCATACTATAACCCGTATACCGTAGTTATGTAAAACGCGAGCGTGTGTGTATAATACAACGTACGACGACAATTATTTAATTACGACGCGTTGTATAATGTGGTAACACCCCGGGGTAGTGATGGCGTGACGAACTTTGAAAATTACAGTCGGTGGCGACCGAGTTTCATCTAATGCTCTTAATTATCACCATTTCACCGATAATAAGTCATGAGGGGTGCTGTATAGGATGAATTTTCGAATCTTTTTTTATTTTTATATTTTTTTTTTATCGATATACCACACATCCGCCCATCTGGATAATCCACATATCACAACTCTCAAAAAGTCTGCAGGGGGGCGATCGACTCTTAAATAACCTCTTCGTCTCATTCATCATTTAACTGCGTTTCACGCTCGACTATAGCTCTAGATGTATGTGTTTCCGTCGTACTTCGTTATTATTTTAAGACGATGGGTTAGAAGATTTGATCAAGGATAATTTTTTGTGGCATAGTTTTGAAGGTCTTTTACGTCACTCGTACGTTGCAGCTCTTTTACGTTAATATTTATATATTTATTTTATTTTATTTATTTTTTTTTTTTTGAATTGCTTATTTGTTTATACATAATTATTAGTTACGATACAATATGCGACCAAAACGACTACGTAAAATAAACGATGTAACCATCACAAGAACGTTTCGAAATTGGTCAATTGTATTATTTTATGTATTCTTTATATATGCTATACGACGCGTGTAATATATTATTATAATTTCCTGTGCTTTTTGTGAAACGCGATTTGTGTAATGGCGATGTCGGCGCTGGGGTTAAACTCACTATCGAGTCAATAACCGACTGTCGACCCGGGGTGTCAACGCAACTAAACATACACGCACGCCTACGCATTCGCCAATGTTTCATCTAGTGGGCGCGCGCATTATCTTAATAATATTTGTGTAACTATTACCATCCAGTAGTACAATAAATAAACTCAATGCTATACTTAGCCCCGCCGTTACGCTGACGACATATATTTGTTTTAACATTTTTGAAAGCACAATCGCAATGTTATTTTTACACTGTTTATGACACATTGTTCTACAAAATGCATTGTATCGGTTCGATTACCTGCTGTGACGTGTACGATATTATTCGTAGTAACGTACTATATTATGGAAGATTTGCTACGTCGGTGCTATAACAAACGTATATGGATCGAAATAATTTTGTGTAATAAATTTAAATCGTCACAGTTACGGTACAGTTGTGCACCGACATAAACCATGTATCTGAATGCAATAGATTAATCACATTACAAATCAGTGGCGCAACCAGGGCGGTCCACGGGTCTGGAAGTCCCCCCTCCCCCTACCATTTAAGTCGCATAAAATAATTTGAAAAGTTTATTAAATTTAATCTAGCGTTAAATCTACAATGTTAACACAATAGCATGAAAAACATTTCACATCGTTTGGCACATCAAACCATATATATATATATATATATATATACTGATTAAAATCATAGGGTTTGCGCATTAAACGAAGTACGGGACTTCGATATATTGGGGGGGAAGGGGTCGTTTTAAACAAACTCTGGTTGTGCTACTGTTACTGTCATAATAAATTAACACATGCAAATACATAATATGTGTTTAACGTATCAATAACTCTCTGTGCATTCGCATCAATGGAAAATACATGCACTAATGGTGGGCGCTAAATTAAACGGTACCCAATATAAATAGATCACGGGTCATCTTACAATTGACCGTATGCGTACATGTTGAACGAATGATAATACGTGACGACTTTTTTATGCAACATAATAATATAATACGTGTCCGTTTTTGTTTTTCGGGTCTCGCCCGTGTGTAGCTGTCAAATTCGGGCGCATGAGCAAGAAGCAGCGAGAGAAGGTCGAAGACGAAGTGCGCTTCCACAGGGCGCAGATGCGTTCGTCAGCAGCTGCTGCGGCCGCGGCTGCTGCCGCAGCTGTGGCCGCGCAGACCACAGCCATCGACTGCTGTTCGACCACGACCGGCGGTGGCAACGGAGGTACCGCGGCCGTGGCCGCCGATTCGTCAGTGTTCGACCACGACCAGCACGGGCAGCAACACGGACACGGGCAACAGCAACAGCAGCAGATGCCCTCCAGCACTGCCGACCACGGGCTACGCCTACACCAATTACACAGCGGAGGAGGACATCTCTCGCAACACCACCATCAGCAGCAGCAGCAGCAGCAGCAGCAGCAGCAACAGCAACAGCAACAGCAGCAACTACAGCAACAGCAACAGCAACAACAGCACCAGCAACATCAGCTCCACGGCCAGCAGCAACAGTTCAACATCAACAGCAATGTGCAGCAGGCCTACGCGGCCGCCGCAGCAGCAGCCGCCGCAGCAGCAGCGGCCGCTGCGGCCGGCGGTGCCGTCAACGGAGCCAACGGGGGCACGGGAGTCGGGTGAGTCCACGGGAAACATTATGTTTTTAGACACGTGCAATGTTGTGGGTTCGAGGCCAAAAGGTTTTTGTTTTCGTGGTTTTCCGTTGTGTAACGGATTCGATTTCATTTGCAGTGGCATCAGTTATGAATGTCACAGCGTATGTGATTATGTTCAAAGTTAGCGATTGAGATATTCTGTAGAGTGGAAATAGCACGTGGTCTATCGGCGAGCAGTTCAAAAAATAAAAACTGCGGTAGTACCTATCTATATTGTATATTATGAACGTTTTGGCCTTTGATTACACACAATATTATAGTTATTTCTTATTTCTATTATTACGTCATGTAATCGTTTTACTAACGTGATCGGTGTCGCTCGTAGATACGGTGGCGGCGGGTACAATGGCAGCGGTGGAACGAACGCAGCCGCAGCAGCCGCATCGCTTGTGGTGGACACGTTTGCGGCGTACGCGGCTGCGGCTACCTCGTCGGCGGTGCAGACCGGCCCTAACGGTTCAGTGCCACCTCCATACGACACGGCGGCAACAAGCAGCAACTACGTGGCGGACAGCACGACACCGGCGGCGTCCAGCACGACGCCATCCACGGCCGCGGCCACATCCACTTACGGCGGTGACATGGAAGTGTCGTCGGTGGCAGCTGTCGCGTCCGGAGCACAGGACAACTTAATGGCCGGCGTTTCCGGTTCTACGGCTGCCGTTTCTTCGGGTCAGTATATTATTATAAACGCTAACAGAAGTATACGCACTTAATGGCCACATATCGAAATTCAACCCTAACGGGATGTATGTGCCGTGAAACTAAACTCCCACGTGAATAAAACTTCCATTGAAAAGGTTTACGCTCGCGTGAAAGAATTTCGAGTAGCTGCTAATTGTGGTTGGGTAAAATTTCAGCGTACAAATGAATTGCGACTCGATTTGTATTTTCAAAACGCGTTAGGCCGTGTTTTATGAAGTTAGAACGAAATGTTCACGGTAAAAAATCATAATTTCCTCAAAGTTTATCAAAAGTGTAAATATAATATTATTATATAATGTGAACTTTGTGAATTAAAAATGTATTTTTGGTTAAAATAACTTTTCAAAGTAACGCAGTACCATTAAGTTTTAGTTACTAATTGTTCAGGAATAACTAATTTTCAAAATTCCTGTGAGCCAAAAAGTTTTTCAGTTATCCTGAAAATTTGGGAAAATCCGAGATTGGCCATAATGGTTCTTAGCGAAAATATGTATAAAGTCAACTTAAAAAGTATTCTGTTTTTTTAAAACATACTACGTTGTAGGTTAACGCTTTGACCGTGTGCACATCATAGAGCACCACAGGGTAGCGCACGTATAACGCGGTTATATCGCTGCGTATCCCAATAGTAATAATAATAATAATATGTAAGTTTGTGTGCTTAAACTTTTTGTTCGTTTACCAATTTCAGCAGCAGACGCCGTCCAGATCAGCGAGCTCTTGAGCAAGACCATAGCAGACGCCCATGCCCGCACGTGTTTCTACACACTCGACCAGATACACGACGGCATGTACCGAACAGCCACCATGGCTGCGGCCAACAAGGCAACGGCCGACAAATTAATAATGTACAAAACTATGGTAGGTTTTTCGTTAGCAATAGCTATGTATGATTTTATGTATCGTCAATGAGTGGGTTGGGTTGAGAGTCTTGAAAATCGGAGCTTTCCAGCTTATAACGCTTTACATATGTACTTTAACATGAACACAGGGTTCATGAGGTCGTCTGTGATGTTGTAAACTTACTGCTTCTAGGAAAGTTACATAACCGTGTTCGTGTTTAACAAATATCTTGTGTACCTATTTGATTTTATACGAATATTATCTATACATTATAATCAATAAAAATAAAAATAAATCGTTATTAACCTCCCTATCCGTCAAAATTATTTTTATATGCGAGTATTATTTTAACAACCCTTATATCGTTTTATTAGAAATTGGCTAAATTTTAATAGCCAGATTGAGTTAATTTGTTTAAGCAGATTTAATATTAAACTCATCAAAAATCAAACGTGGAAAATATTTCTTGTATAATTAAGAACAAGAGTATTTTAATTTAATGTGTAGGAATGTAGGATATATAAAGTATAATAAATAAAAAATTAAAATAGTGTAGACAATACAAATTAAATATCATGATAATAAACTAAAATAAGGTTTTAAGTTTAAAATATGATACGGATTATTTTCACGACTTTTTAGAAAGTTTCATCTCATCAATATATTTATATACTATTCAAAATAATGTTCATACCTATTTGTTTTAACTAGATCTAAAAATAATTTTATTCAATTATGAATATGTTTAAACTTCAAATACCTTACAAATGCTTGACTTGAGGTTCAAATACATGACACGTTCCACTATATAGGCTAAGTAGGCTCTCTAGTGGTTTATTCTGCTCGTGCTGTCTCAAAGACTAAAGTCAAGGAGGGTTAAAACTATTCAAACCTCACACTGACTAAATTTTAATATTATGTAGATAAACACACTTGCATTATTTTTAAAGGAGAATAGCATTCTGGTAGATAAAGTTCCATAATATAATATAAATTTAAAAAAGACTTTTAAGAAATTAATTTTGGAATTAACTTAATCGATTAATTAAACTAAATCTTGTTTTTAATAACTATTGTAATTATTTTATATATATAAATATTCAATCAAGTCTATCTTATAACAATTGTTTTTAGATGTTTATTCGATGTTCGAATTATATGTTATAGTTTATAATAATTTATTATTAAATATAATGTTTTAGTATTTATACTCTATGGTGTTGACTACAATATCATAAATTTTAAGGATAAAAAAAGTTATTAAATTTAATGTTGAAATGATATAAATAAGTTGTAACAATTAATATGCACTTGTATACGAATAAGATAATATTAATTTTAAAATATTTTAACTTAAAAGGAAAGAAGTTGGAAAGTTAATACCTCTCCCCGCCTACTAGTATAACTATGTTTGACGCACGTGTAATTACAATATTATGGTTATAAATTTAAAAAAATTGTAATTTTTAGCCTCACGAGGAGCTGTGGTTAGAGTGTGCGCAAAAATTGACGTCTGTCATCCAGCAAATTATCGAGTTTGCTAAAATGGTGCCTGGATTCATGAAACTGTCACAAGACGATCAGATTGTCCTACTCAAAGCGGGTAAGTTGCGTAGTGGTTATGAGTGGTAAAAATGTTTAAAAATCACATAGACCAGGCGGAATAGTCTAAAAGACGGGAAGCGTATATGATTAGGTTTATCGGGATTGTGGGGAAGCAACCCAGCTGAAGCTGCTTTTTGCCTTTGATATTTAATCGAATGATTAAAAAGTCAAATGCAATCCAGCTGAAGCTGTTTTCCGCCTTTGATGTTTAATCCAATGTTAATGAAGCCAAACTCAACTCACAGAGCTTTAGCACGAGTAATATATTTCTCATAAAAGTTTAAGTATACGGCATTCGAAAATATAAACATTTTGTTCAAATAACAAATTACCGTTATCACAGAACTGCAAAAAAAAACCATGACGGGTATTTTATAATAAATAATTGGTTGCTTTTATTTTATCAGTTATTTGCTGTCAATTCTCGTCTATAGATCAAAAACATTTCATATATATTTGTGTCGGTGTTAGACACTAGTAATCGTATTATTTATGAAACTAATATATCCGACGTTTCAACAGGAAGTTTCGAGTTAGCTGTGTTGAGGATGTCCAGACACTACGACCTACACCGAGACTGTGTCTACTACGCAGATGCCCTACTGCCTGCCGATGCGTTTTACACGCAAGACGCGGTCGAAAAGAAACTTGTTTCGCTGGCTTTCGAAGTGAGCCGTTCCGTTGCCTCGTTGAAACTCACTGAAACCGAGCTGGCCCTGTACTCGGCCGTCGTGTTGCTATCGCCAGGTTGGTATTCTTCATCAACAATAATGCATATTATAAGTTAATTGTGATAGAAACATTACAGATAAATATAATGAATTAGATTGCAGAGTCGTTTCCGTTCAATGTATATAACAAATAACAATCTGATATTTACCCATCACACATAGCCTCTGGGATATCCCCTAACACATCGTATAAAATAATTAGGGTTTTGACCACCATGATATCCATACCCTATATCTCTTTAAAATTCGTCGACAAGTAATATGGATCTGTTCATTTATATACAATTTAAGTCACTTTATATAATCAGGGGCGGCTAAACGGTCGATCGTAAACATTTCAAAGTCGATTCTTCTTGGTCATAGTTTGTTATTTTACATTTAATAACCTCACTAACAAATTCCATTGACCACTGTCGACAATATTTGTTTGTATTTTTATGACCTCTCAATGGAAAAATGTATTCTCAGTAAATGTTTATTAAAATATGTTTGCCCATCTCCGCTAGATGATTAAATAATTCCTAAGATGATCTCGGCGTCAGTCAACTTGAAAATAGTAACGTTTCCGAATTTTTCGGGAGCGTTATGTACATTTTTATATTGACTGTAAGTTTCACAGAAACTTCACACAAATAATTATTGACAACAATTCAAAAATTTACCTTTATTCCCCGTAATACGACCAAATTCGCGACTATAGTGTGTTTTACTACTTTTACAAGTCAGCGACCTAGTTTGTTATGTGGTTGTATATACCTACAACTGTTTGGTAGCATTTTTATATGAAAGTTATTTTATTTGACGATCAAATTTTGTTACAGACCGTCAAGGCTTAAAAGGTACTGTGGAAATTGGTCGTCTTAGACAGGCCATTCTGCGTGCTCTACGTATGGAGCTAGATCACAGAACTGCTGGTGGCAAAAATGTAGCCAACGTCGATCTACAACATCAGCAGCAGCATCACCAACAGCAGCAACAGCAGCAGAATCAAGTGTGCGATGCTCTCATACAAAAGATCCCGATACTCAGGTGAGAACCTACGGTTGTATAATTTAGAAATAAGTTTTAGAGCTAAAATTTACAAAATATGGATTGTGTCAAATAAAATAATATACCAAATACATATTACATAGAGTTAAATCGTACATTGAATTAAATTTTATAAAATTGTTCTGAGCTTATACATAAAAATTAAATTACTTTCAGCTTTCAGTTTTTTATTTTAATATTATTAATTGGTATTAAGAGTTAGAAATTAAATTAAATTTATACGACATTGCAGCAGCATAATTCAATATTAACATGAATAAAGACAAACACACGTAATCATGAAGTATAATTCATATTGAATAAAGTTGTTTTGACATAATATACATAGTTACATAGATACTATATCAAATGAAAGTAAATAATATTTTTAACTCAGTGTATGATTCTTAATCAATTTTCATATGCATATAAATTACAACTTTTCAAAAGTCAACGAACTTTTATTGCTATGATATATTATTTAAAAATTATGAAATTAAAAATTAAATTAAACATCGAGTTTTTTTTCATATCTCATTATTAATAATTAAATATTTAAATCTGTCTTACTCAATTATCTACTGGGATACTATATTTCACGACTACGTGCTAATTCCAAAATTAAACTAATTACCTTCCATAACATAACAAATTATTTTTCAACATATTTAAAAAGTTATTTCTTTAAGTTCTATATTATGTCCTTCTTATCTTTGGTTGTGAATTTTTAATAATATTTTCGATTTACATCTAAATGTAATATTACCAAGATTTTTATAAAGGTACCGTATTTAATTTAAATTTAAACGTTTTAAGTATACAATTGCTGAAGTAAAATAAATTCTAAACTTTATTATTATAACTACAGATTACTTAACTTTAGTCACTTTTTCAGTTTTCTTCGTGCAGTTTTTAATTAATATTATTCATTTTTTGTTGACATAAAAAATTACTCATAGATTGACGAATTTAATATTTCTTGTTAGCAGACTTTATATGATTATAAAACATTTAAATAAATTTGCCCAGAAATCAGCCGCCTTGCCCGTTTATGACAATATTGAAATATCAGCAATTTTTACAAAATATTTATAAGTAGAATAGACAATAGTGATTGATTTTGATTTTTTTTATTGCGTGACCGTGATGTTTATATCGTATTAGAATAAATTATTGTTCATCAAATTTGCACGCGAACAGAGTCGATCGAATTAAACATTTTCGTCTATATTCTACTATTAGAATAGATAAATGGTAGCAGCGATGTATGAACGTCCTATCGTAGGTAGGAAATACGATTCGCTTAGAATTTCAAATATACAGTTGAACGTGTATATGGTTATTCAATACATAGATATTATATATATATAAAGTGTGAAAAGGGCGGGGATGATTATTTTAAGGTTATTATATCCACGACTGCAAATGCCAAGTATTACCGCCCCGCGCGTGTATGAATTAAATTTCCGCTTTGTAGATACGTGTCAGCTTTACCCTACCGCCGTGCCACTGCTCGTGCGACAAATACAAGTTCTGCTGCGGCTGTCATAGAAAATAATATTGAATGTGCTCCTTATTTTTTCAATAAAAATAATTCATCATATTTTGCGTGCTGAATTTATAGTGTAGGTACGTGGTGTATGAGTTTATACTTTAATGTATTTTAACAACAAACAAAATACAAATGTAATATAAAAAAACGTGTTTATATTTTAAAAATATAGTTAATATTAGAGAAAAAATTTACAATTTTTGATGTTAAATATTCATTTTTTTATTATTTATAAATAAAATTGATGAATATTTTAAAACTCATACAAACGTAATATTTCCTCTATTATTTATAACTGATAATAAACCATAGCTAGACCAGTTGCAAGATTTTTTTTATTTTTAATAAATATTAAGCTTCAATTGACAAAAATGTAAACATTGTTTTTATATTTTTTTTATGACCTGTACAGTTTAAAGTATGTATAACTTAACATAGTTAAAAATATAGAGTTGCTTTTTACAAATTCCTTATTAGGCGTAAATAAGTTCATTTTTACCCGCAACAACACCAAATATGGTTAAGCGTGTCTAGTGGAGGGTTAGAGTGATTAGATGATTTTAGGGTGGGTCACTGTATTGTACATACAATTAACTATAAATATCAGTAATTAAATCTACCTAAATATAAAACGTTGCTTTTTATTACTGCTGAAAATTAATATTGTACGCTTATAGTACTTATATAATGAAACCTATGATAGATATGGTAGTGTTAATTTTACTCGGACATAAAGTTCTATCCAAAGTTTTATATTGAAAGTACTTCCATGAATATATTTAAGATATTTATATTTTGAAATGACATTTTTTTGAATACTTAATATTACATCATTAAAACGTTAAATGTTTTATATTATTTTCCGAGAATCCGCTTAAAATTGGTCCCGCAATAATGTCGACCCCCCGGACAATACTGATTTTTTTTTAAAACACTATAGAATGTAGTTCCTGCAAAATTCATAAATATATTTAAGACTCATTTGTGAGCTTGTTTAGGTATATTGTTTATAATATAATCTCTTTGCTTATTTTGAGTAACTTCGTTTTATGTATTTTAGCGTTATTACTCAATTATATGAATACATTACACACTATATACAAATAATATAACTTCGTGATGACTAACGGATTGGTTGTTTTTCCACAGGCAACTGGGAATGCTGCACATGGAAGCGTTAGCCAAGTTGCGTCGTACGGTTCCACACTTGGAATTCCCGGCTTTGCACAAAGAACTTTTCTCGGTCGACGGTAGTTGATCTGAGGAGGAAGGCTACGACGACGACGACGACGACGACGATGACGGCGGCGGCGGCGGCGGTGGTGGCGGAAGCGGTGGTAGCGACGGCGGTGACGATTCTGCGAAAGACTCGTCTACGATCGTTGTCGCGTCGGTGATCTCTTTGGCTGGTGGACTGTAATGAGAGCAGTGGCAGCAATGAGCAAAGTCGTCGCAGACGGGCTGTGTAACATATTATATTATATTATATTATTAGTATATTATATTTTAATATAAAAATAAAACAAAAAACGAAAAAAAAAAATTGTAAAATTCCGCGAGATCACACACTGCTGTTAAATATATTCTATTATAATATATTATGTATATTGTTGTTTTGTTACAAGGTAGCGTCTCATATTATATATCGCGTGTTTATGAAATAGAATATTGATATTATTATTATTATTATTATTATTATTATTATTATTATTATTACTATTACTGTTGTTGTTGTATAGTATTTTTTTATGTGTACGGGACATAGATCCCCAGGTACGGTGTTGTAACGAATAGGTATAATAATTGTACACAGTAATTATGTTTGTATGAATTTTTCCCCGGTTTCAAGTATATGAACATTACTAATTATTGAAAAATCGATTTCCGTTGCGGGAAGAGATTACGAGTGTGTGTGTGTGTGTGCAAACGAAAGATTTCGTCGTTTTCTTCGGATAGAGCGTTGTTTGTTTAGGTACTACGTTAATCGTAGTCGACGACGATCCCACACGTACTGAACACGTCGCGTTCACACGTTATATTATATAATTTATAAATCGATGAAGTGAAGTGTACACAACAATATTACAGCGCGTAATTGTAACGCCGTGCACCGTTATCGTCGTGTTTGATCGCAGTGATCGTTGTTTAAATCGTATTATTTATTGTTATTTTTTCGGGGAAAAGGAAAAATTAAAATTTAATAAAATAATTTCGTTTTCGGTCGGCGTATCCACAGCGCGTGTTGCACACCGAATTCCATCGTCGTCTCTGTAAATAATAATAATAATAATAATAATAATAATAATAATATTAGTAATAATAGAGTATTTAGTGCGTGTTCGTGTGCGCCGCTGTACAACCCATACACTTATTATGTAATATTTATGATTATGATTAGAATACGTTTATTATAAATATTATAATATTATACCGAAATCGTGTTAGTAAAACGGGAGTACGGGGAAATAGTGCCGGCGGCCGAGGAGGGTTTATTCATCATTGTTGTTTACGTTTTTAATTTTTTTTTTCTCATTCGATAACTCGTACCGATCGCACATCGATGTACAATTTATACGAAAAACTGAGGAAAACAATTAATCAATAGAAACTCACTCTACACACTCGTCACGTCATAATTATTATTGTACTGTACATACATACACACGCATATACACACACTTGTATAGTTGTCGCTATCGTACCTATACATAAGCTGGTATCGTATAAATTCCGCGCGCGATATAATTAATATTATTGTATCATATTTTGTACACGTCGTTTAGGTACGATATTTTATTGATTATTAATTATTATATTGCCTATTATTACGCGTGTAATATTATTATGTTGTGTAGATAGAGGTTATATATATATATATTTATATGAATAAGTATATTATTATTATGAAATGTGGCCGCCGCCACCTCGCGTTTAAATGTAATTATTATTATTATTATTATTATTATTATTATTCTTATTATTAAATCATGTGTTATGTGTTTTTGTATTTTGTAATGTAAATTATAACGTATAAGCGTCGTCGTCGCCGTCGTCATCCACTACAATACTTTTTTCTTTTTTTTCTCTAAGCGACTTAACATATTATTATGTATATGGTATATTTATTTATATATTATATACATTAACTTAAACTATATAATATACATTGTATAATGTGTGTGTAAAATAGTGGTGACACAACAAAGAGTTGTAGCGCGTATTATATATGTATGTATTTTATTGGTAAATCGGTTCGACGACGACGACGATTATGGCACTGGCTGCGTATTTTTATTATTTATGTATACGTGTAATATAATATGAATATATCATATAAAAGATTATAACAATACGCGAATAGTTTTTAATTTGTTTTCGTTAATATTATTATTATAAAATGAATAGGAAATTTAACGTGATGTGGGGTAATTATATTGTGAAATTAATCGATAAGAAGACGGAATGAAAATGTGTAAAATACGATTTTTAATATATAAAGAGTATATTATATAATATATATAATTAAATTGGTATATATATATAGTATATATTACGATAGTTTTTTACGGTAAAAAAAACGATATATTGTTTTTTTTTTTTTTTATAATTATTATTAATATTATTATTTGCGCCTGCCCGCAATTTTATGAATTTTATTAAACTTTGTCATTTTATTATTAGATAAGAATATATATATATTATATAATTATATGAAAAACAAACAAAATATTTTTATGTTGTATACTGCAACAGTCAAGTAAAACACGCGCACATAATAATATATCATTTTATTGTATATTTTTAAATTACGTTTATCGTTTGTTCTCGTATCTTATGTAATAGCAATTGATATGTATATATATATATTTATATATATATATATATATTATCATTGGTCTTAGATAGTAATTATCATCATCTATAATCAATGATATTATGTTTGTCACCTCATCCTCGTCCTCTTCCGGAACGCGTAATTTTAATATATATTATATAGGTACACTCGTTGTTTCAGTTATATATTTTTTATTTCTTTTCGTTTTCCACTACTACTAGAAAAGGTGCTCCGTGTTATTATTATTATTATTATTATTATTATTATTGTTATTAATTAATTATTATCGCTTATTATTATTATTATTATTATTATTATTATTGTTTAACAAGAGATAATATTATAAAACAACAAAAATATATAAATATATGTATATATATATATATTTATATAGATATATACGCATGTAGATTATATGGTATATTTTGGTTTTCATTTTGTTTATTATATTGTTTTAAGAAAAAAGAAATATTACATCCACAATATGTTGTGTATCGGGCATAAGTGGCACAACTAGACCTTACATTTTGGGGGTATTAAAATTATACAAAGCTTACGAATAAATTACTTAAATAAAAGATTAATTAAGTAACTGTCTATAATAAAAAGCATTTTTTCTATTTTTTGTTACAACTTATTGCTAAAAATTGATTTGTTAAGTATTTTTTAATACGTGATAAGTTTGAAAATTATTCTTATGTTATGCTAGTCTGTAGCCAATATTTTATTAGTTACATTTTATAAATTAATATGCATTAGTAAGAAAACATGGTAAGTTATTATGTGAATGCTAAACATCCCTTATCATCCAGCTAGTTGTGCCTATGGACTATTGGATACTTAGTCGTGTGTACATTTAAATTAATTTCTCATTTCAACGTTGTTATACACCTTGTTAAAGGATTGAAAAAATGTCATTGATTTATAACCATAGGATCTGCAAGTATAGGTATCGCGATCATGTTATAATTCAATTAATAATTGCATTATATGGCTTGTGCAAGATTATGCAATAAGTACTAATAATATTCTATATTGAACAACTTACGTATTATTTGAATCACTATTCGCCATAATTGTCGATTTCAAAAATAGATAAAGAGTTATTATTGAATTAATGTTATTTATGAATTCAAATGAATTTTATACGTCAAATCGAAGTGATTTATAGTATTTTACGTATGTAAGAGGGAGTTGAGGATTTACTTACGTCTTACACATGATACATAGGTATTACAGTATTTCATCTGATGTACCGATGTATGTATGGTTTTTAAATTGTCCGTTAGACACATCCTCGACCAAACAAACAAAAATCAATCCTAAAACTATGTAGGTATTAAATATTTATTATTTATACCTTCGGTCAAGTTGTTTAAGCACCAGCCCTGTAACTTATTCATCCTGTGACCTGTATAAAGTTTAAAGTGGTGAGGTGGGCTGTTTAAAATTAAAAGGTGTTGCATAAAAAAAAAAAAATATATTTATTTATTTATATATTAATATATTTCTCAAATAAAATATACCAGTCATCAAAAACAGTCAATAGTAGTTGATAAATGATAATAAATTGTATTTTTCTTATTGTCCTATAATAATCGATCATTTATAGAACTACTGATAATATTATCGCTAGAATTCCAATAATATCTAATTTTATATATAGATTTCTGATTCGGTACGCAACGGTCGCCGGTACAAAGTACAGACACCGCACCGATCGGTCTACACTATCATCACCGTCATTACGGGTAAAGACGCGATATCGTCAACTCTCCCACCAACACCATAAAGGCGTAGGCGAGACGGGAAGACGAGCCGCTCTAGACGAGTGTTGGTTAATTTGTCACTTTTTCTACAACTACGATTGTGTCATTTTGTTGTTTGCGGTCCTTCGCAACGTACACCATCGGTTTTGACTGTATCATTAACTCCACGTTTTCACTATTGTGTACCGTGTGTAAACTGAAAATAAAACCGGAATCCCTAGTCATTTCTTGTTTAATAATTATAAGCACCGGTTTTCGTTATTTTGTTTTTTTTCATTCATATCAACTTTGTGGTCGTAAGTGCTCGGGTTCTGAACATCAGGATACGCCACCAGTTGTCCGCGGTCGACTAATAATAACCGCCGTAGCCGTCTCAACTGACTCCCCGCAGAGGAATCTACTCAAAACAGCGAAAAGGTAAGAGTTTTGTTTCACGCTGACGCATACCTCGGGTTAATTGCTTATATTACTTTAGTATTAAGATATTTAACTTTGAAGTGTGTTTTTACGGTTGGCTAGGATTCCCAAGTTAGAATTACGTAATAAGTATTTTGGTACGTACAGGGAATTCCGCGCGATCGCGAATAACCGTGATACGGCTGTGGGAAGTAATTACACAACGTACTACCACCCCGCCTAACACCTACTTATTCATCCCGTGACAACGTCTCCGATAACAACGTTGCGCCCACGTGAGAACCGAATAAACCAATATTGCCGCCTCCGCCGCTGTAAACTATAATCGAAACTTAGACATTGACCCTGTTGTTATTATTGGCACTCTCCGACGACAACGATATCATTACAGCTGATTGTTGTTGACATTAGCGTAATATCGATCCTTCGAAGTAGGTCATTCACACGCGAATTACTACCATTTAATTACAGCGTCGTACATAACGAACAAGCGCGATCATTTCTGACAACAGCATAACAAACACATTTGTAATATTAGCTCACCACTTAGTTACACTATGACAACTGACAAGTAAAACGTTAGGTTAGGACAGTTGGCATCTAATGAATCGCGTCTCGAGTGCGTAGC